GACGTTAAAGCTCTCATAGCACTTTTTGAAAAGAGAAGGAAGTTTATCCTGGTGTCCTGCCAACAATCCCCAATTAAAATTGCTCACCTTCGCCATGACTGCTTGTGGGATATTGCTGCACGCAAACCAGCTGCCACATTCGTCCACAAAGTACACAATCCCATCACTTTACAGTATCCTCTGAAGCTCTTTGAAACATCTCAATTGATGTGATAAGGGGCTATATCAAATGCAAGGATTATTATACATTAGAAATTGCTTTTAGCATTAAAGCTCTTTTTATAGGTAATGGGATCACATTCAGAAGTGGCAAGGACATGATGGAAACCATTGTAACAAATGCATTAAATTGTTTGCAGCTTTCTTCTTTGCGATTTACTTCATAGATGTTTGTAATGTGTGCAAGTATGCTACTGTGTTCACTAAAGTAAATCCTGTCAAGCACTTTGACATGCTGTTGACATGAAAGGCTATGTTAAAAGCCTGAGTACTATGGCAGCAAGTATACATAGTAAAAAGCAGAGCAATGATACTGCAAGATCACAAGATTGGTTTGGATAAAGAAGGCCCTTTGGCCCCATCTGATCTCATCCTTCCAAAACATACATCCTACCCACCCACTCAACTCCAACATAGCGTCAAGTTGTTTCTTAAATTAGTCAAATGCCCTTCCTAGCGATCTGTTCCATTTGTTAATTGCCCTCTGAGTATTGCCCGTGTCTGTGGAAAAAAACATAGCAGTGCAAGTGCGTCAATTTCTCATGGTCTTTGCAATCTTAAAATATAAGATCATGTAGAGTTTTGGAAAATTCCTAAATTCAGACTTTATTTGGAACCCACTTTTGTGGTGGTGCTAAACTAGCTTCCAGGTGGCTTCAGCAATTTTTATTTCTGATGGTAATAACTGTACATTTCAGCATCCTAACAATAATAGCAAGAAATATTTAGAAAGGTGCTAACAGGACAAACAACATAGGGGTTCATGATGCAATATTTGCAATGTGGAAATTGAGTAAAGTATTGGAGGGCCCCTGCCATGACCCACTTTGCCTAAGTAGGAGTGCAGATAACTGGGGCAAGACGTGTTTGTAAACCAAGCACAACATGATAAAAGGGTTACCTCGAAGTTCAAGCGATTGCAATTGATATAAGATCAGAAACTCTTCACGTAGCAACTAAAGCTGAATTTGAAGCCTCTTCGACCTAATTTGGTGAGGTGCCATTTGCCTGTTAAATTTAGATATCTAAGTCAATCTGAGATCCTTAAATGTAAAATTTCTTTGACGTTAACTGGTTCTGGTTCAGTCCCACTGTCTTATATTCCTGCTTTTTATTTATGTGAGTTGAAGACATAAGCATCCCAATGTTAATACTTGATTTTCCATTTCACAATTTGCTTTTGACTTATTGTGGTAACCTCCTTACTGCGGAGCAGTTCTGCTTTCTTCAGTCTCTGTACAATATCTCGTATTGTTTTTACATAGCACCCACTATTGTTAAAATAGCAAGGTATGTTCCATTGAAAACGCATGACAGACTTTGGGCTTCTTTCACTACAGTAAGGTTGGGAATGTTTGGCTCGCACTGAATTCTGCCAGGAGTAAATAGTAACCAGGCAGGATCAAAACACACTGCATTAACTTTTGCTGGTTCCTGTTTTACATGTGGAAACTTTGTAAATCTTTTGCACAGTAAATTTTGAAAACGCATATTTGTTTCACAGCAACTACACTAAGCTTATGTACTTAACTTCACTCTTAACTTCCTGCATTTATTGTTGCTCTGGTCAATTGTTATATTTATTTGCTACTCACAATTCTCTGTTCCATTTACTCACTTTTAATCTCACACTAGATCACAGAAGATTTTGAAACATGTCTTCGAATCCATTGCTGAGGTCATTTATATTTGTGTTCCCTTTATTTTCATTTTGTGTCAGCCTGGCTCAGTAGAGCTTTCGTCTCTGATTCAGAAGGTTGTGGGTCCATGGCCCAGGTTGGAATTTGAAACCCATATTGAAACGGGGTGTGCTTCACTTCGGAGATGCCTTCTTCCGCTGAGATGTTAAACCAAGGACATTAAAGATTCCATTTTTCGTTAAGGGAAGGGATTTTTTTAATCAGTTTCCTGGCCAACAATCCCCCAAATAAAATTGGTCACTCAGTTCATGGCTGTTTGTAGCACATTGTTGTATGCAAATCAGATGCTTGTTGCACCCACAAAATATACAGTCACTGCACTTTACAGTATATCCTGTGAAGCACTTTAAGATGACTCGGTGACTTGATAAGGCATTATATTAAATGCCAGCATTATTATTATTATTGCTGATTGGTATAAGATTTCATTCAGATAGTGCAGTCTATCTCTAGTTACTACCTTTCATATTTGAAGATAATCCTTATCCACACCTTACCCATTCTCTTTTTTTGTCTTTCAGACAGTTGGATTCTTCACTTATTTTCTCAACACTGTGTCCTACCCACATTATTCTCTTGTGCCTGACCTTATGTGCTGACCAGTAAATCTGAATTATACTGCATTTGTGCCCTGAGAACATCAGACACATTTTTCATTTCTCAACATTTGTGAACTATACCAGTAATAAATTTGTTCCAAAAAATACTTTATTTAAACATGTGGTGTAAATAAAATATGTCATGGCCAGCAGGGGAATGTAATAAATAACCCAGCCCATGAGATTGACTGGAACACCAGCCATGACTTCACCCTTCTTGAATTGTACAGGCAGCCTCTCTAATGTATATATTTATCATATCTCATTGACCAAATATGGAGAGGATATTTACTAAGAACAAAGAAGGTTCAGGGGTGACCTGATAGAGGTCTTAAGAGCAAAAGAATTTGCTAGGCGAAAGAAGACCAAGGTCCATCCAGTTTGCCTTCCCCCTTCCTGGAAGTCGCATGACACGTCGTGTCCCAAACTATATACTGTATCCTGAGATATTATTTCCTAACAAAAATCTATCTAATTTTTCCTACATGCTCCCGCTTGGTGACGTCATCCGCAGACATGGGGTCAATTTCCACATGTATGCGAATGACACTCAACTCTACCTATCTGCCTCCACCCTGAACTCCAGGACTACTGGCGTCCTGACTGACTGCCTGTCCGACATTGTCCTGGACGAGGGCCAACTTTCTCTAACTCAACATCAGCAAGACCGAGGCCCTCCTGATTGGCTCGCCAGCGCCTCCCCACCTCAGACGCTGGCAGCGTCAGCTTCCACGGCTGCACACTTAACCTCACTAAGTCAATCAGGAACCCGGGTGTCTTGTTTGACCCTGAATTGTCCTTTCTCCCCCACATCTACGCCATGACCGGCACTGCCTACCACCACCTCCACAACGTTGCCAGACTCCACCAGTGCCTCACCCCTCAGGCTGCCGAAACCTTCACACACGCATTTGTCACCTCAAGGCTTAATTACGGGAACTCCTCCTCATTGGCCTTCCCAACTCTTCCCTTCACAAGCTGCAGATCATCCAAAACTCTGCAGCTCATGTACTCTCCCGCACCAGGCTCCGTGACCCCATCACTCCCACCCTCGCCCGACTCCACTGGCTCCCCATCCCCCAAAGGATCGAGTTCAAGATCCTCGTCCTCACCTTTAAGGCCATCCATGGCCTTGCCCCCTCCTACCTCGCTGACCTGCTGACTCCCTACCAACCTGCCCGCTCCCTCCGTTCAGCGGCCTGCTCCATGTCTCCCGCCTGACCATCGGTGGCCGGGCTTTCAACTTCTCTGCCCCACGGTCAGGAACTCCATCCCACGGCCCCTTCGTATCGCTTTCTCCCTTGCCTCCTTCAAGACCGGTCTCAAGATCCTTCTCTTCGACCGTGTCTTTGGTCGCCCTCCCACCTCTCTGCCTTCCCTCACCCCTACACCACCCCTCCCCCATGCTAGGGTCCCGACATCTGACTGTTCAGCGCTTTGGGACGTCCTCCCGACATGAAAGGCGGTCTATAAATGTCATTTTGTTGTTGTTATTGTTCTTAACTGAATCAACACTTTCTGCTTCCACCATCTTCCTAGAGAGCCTGTTCCATACATTTATTACTCGCTCACTGAAGTAGTGTATCCGCAGATTTGTTCCGAATTTAGCCTCCTACATTCTCAAGTCTCTGGTTCTCCTGTTCTGGACCAGATAAAACAGCTTAGCAGGTCTTCATTATCTAGTTCCTTTAGAATCTTAAAGACCTTAATCGTATCGCCCCTCAACCTTCTCTTCTCCAGTGTGAACAGGCTCAGTTTACCCAATCACTCGTAGTCCAGCACTCAATCATTTTGGTTGCCCGCCTCTATCCTCTCAATCGCTGCAATATCTCTTTTATATTGCGGCAACCTTTACAATTCTCAGGGGTTTTAACAGAGTCAATAGGGAGAAATTATGTCCACTGTTTGGTGGGTCAGTCACCAGAGGACATCAATTTAAGATAGTTAGTAAATGACCAAGTGAGGAAACTAGGAGGATTTTTTTTCATGCACAGAGTAGTTGGGATATGGAATGCCTTTACTGGGAGTGATAGTTGAGGCAAAATTCGTATCACAAGGGAGCTAAAAAGGATTAAATGGGAATGAAAGGATTACTCTTAAAAGAGTACAGACACGATGAGCCAAATGGCTTTCTTCTGTGAATTTCTATGGTTCTAAGACAACATTTTGTTTTGGTGATGGAGGAGGATGTAAGAGAATTTTCTACTTTATATAATAAAGACAATAGATAGGGCATATTGTTAATATCTGTGCTGATGTGTGAGAAAATGTAAGATGTTCAAAGTATTAATCTGAGCAAAACTATTTTTTGTTTGTTTTTGTAATGCTTAAAACAGGCACATGATGGTTATGAGTAATAATAATAAGCCTTTGATAGAGCACCTTTCACTTCATTAAGATGTCTCAAAAGATTTACTGTGAAATAAAATGACTGTGTTTGTAGGCGAAAATGTGGCAGCCCAATGTCCCACAAACAGCCATGTAAAGCAGCAAAGTAATTTATTTCCTATATTTCCAGTAACTTACATATTACTTGCATCCTAGAAAATGTGTATGTAGGGCAAGACATTCTATCTGGTTCTAGACCTTGACTATTTTCTTAACATGTTGAACTGTGCAAATTTTGGCCAATTCTTAAATTCAGTCTTTACTTGGGAGTTGGTTTTCCATAACTCTTAAAAGAACCTGCAGAAAAAAAACTCAAAATGTGCATGCTATGAAATGGTAAGAAAATAGTCTAGTCTAGATGTGCAGAACTCGGTGGAATTTCTGGCCCATTGGCGGGAAATGTTCACACATAACCTGTGCATAACTTTGAAACATCTTGTATAAAAAAAGACACAAATGCATACACAAACACAAAGCAGAAATAAATGTCAATCATTCATTATACAAATCTAAACCATTAGTATTCCAAAACAAAATGAGATTAAAATCAAAACAGATTAAAATCATTCAAAGCTAATCAGAGGTATGCTCGGGAGCCTGTCAGATCTAAAATTTTAGTTGTACAACATATTCCCAGCAGATGTTTTCAACTTGATTACAAAAAAAGGAATAAATTGATCAATTCCAGTCATATTGGCTGTGCATTATACACACCATCAATCATGCATAGCAGCAGTGTTGTGAAAACAGAAGGTGACTCATCATTTCCTATGCACACTGCGTTGGATTGTCTGGCTCATAAATAAGGCTTTCTTTGAAAAAATTGTCATTATCTGTGCCCCAGAACACTGAAACAAACAACAACAACAATAACAAAATTACATTTATAGAGCACCTTTCACGTCAGGAGGATGTCCCAAGGCACTGACACATACAAATTAATTGGGATCCAGAAAAATGCTGATACTTTCTTATTACTTGATGTTCATAATTGTACTCCTATTCCACTACTGTTAGGCATTGACATTGTCCTGTAGCCATTGCGCTATTGTGGCCTTGTTGTTTTTTAACCAGTTGATATTTGTCTCTACAGTTTCAAGTGCCTGTTTACGGGGTACCTTTCCTGCTCCAGCATCCGGGTACTTGTAAAATAATTCGTTCATCTGGAAAGGGATAACAGTAGATATATTGGAGTAATGAGGCAAGCAAGGTTAAATAATGGTAATCTACCAACAAAAAAGTTTTGGAGGGAATTCTGGTGCATACCTGCCATAATTGGAGTTCAGTGTTATATGAAGTTGTTATTCTTGGAATTAGTCTTCCCAGGTTTCTATCATTGATGGTGAATCTGAAAATTAAACAGAATGTAATTTTAGTAACAACAATTTGCATTTATATAGTGCCTTTAATGTTGGGAGGCTATCTCGAAATGCTTCACACAACTGACTGGGAGCCTAAGATGGGGGTGAGGGGAGTTAAGGAGTTGGGGTGGGGGTGGGCAAGAGATGAAAGGTGGAAAGGGAGGGTACAAGGTGGAGGGGCTCTTGGTTGGAGTTATAGGGAGCAGGGAGAGAATGGGCTGAAAGCTCATTCACTAACAGTGGGGCGGGTCAGGCCAGGATATGAAGCAGGCCTGTGATCATTGAACAAATGGAGTGACCAGGATGATAGATGTCAGTTAAAGAAATACACCAGGATGCAATCAGGATATACCGATGATAGCCTTACCTGAAGACTTGACTGTAATTGGCTGCTTATAATTAAAAACAATACAAAGTTATCAGCCTGATCAGGGCCATAATTGTCACCTCATTTCCTATTAATAGCACTGAAAGATCATGTAACTTTCCTGACTATTGATTCCAGCAAATCCTTCATCCTACACTTCCAGATGTTTATATCCAGCAACACCATTGGGCCAGTCCCAGTTACATAGAGGAATAAAGATCCCACTGCTCTGCCCAAACAATCAGGTCCTTCGGATGAGATGTTAAACCGAGGTCCTGTCTGCCTGTTCAGGTGCACGTTAAAAAATCCCATGGCACGATTTGAAAAGAGAAGCAAGTTTCTCTCTCTCTCTGTCCTGGCCAATAAATCCCCCCAAATAAAAGTTAAAAATTAGTCACTCACTCCATGGCGGTGTGTGAGACACTGCCATGTGCAATTGGCTGCCGCGTTTCGCCCACAATATATACAGTCACTCCACTTTACAATATATTCTGTGAAGCGCTTTGGGAACATCTCAACAACGTGATAATATGATAAATCAAATGCGAGGATTATTATTATAACAATCAGGTGGGTCCAATTTCTATTTCGTAATGAGATTCTTTAATAGGGAATCAGTGTTACCAAATGGGGACTCATTCCAGTAACTGAAATTACAGCACACTGACGGCAGGAATTCTGCTTCAATGCAATATATTTATAGAGGAGAATTCATAAGGAACAACAGGAATTATAATCTGATTCCTGATTAAGGAAGATTTCTGTTTTGAAACAACAGAAATTAGACCCAAATATATTTTAGTTCCTTCACTGGAGTGATCATTTCAACATTATGAGGAATCCCATAGCTCAGTGGTTAGAGCACTCACCTCGCAAGCGAGAGGACTTGGGTTCAATTCCAGACAGGGCGAAATGTTGTTCCTTACTCAACATGCCTCTGTTTACCTAGCAGTAAGTAGGAACCTGGTTATTATTAATTGGTGGATCATTTTTCCGGGGGAAGTAATCCCTTCAAAAAACAATAAGGTTACTCAATCCACGATTGTTTGTGGGATACTTCTGTGTGCAATTGGCTGCCGCGTTTCACCCATAAAATATCCTATCAATTCACTTTACAGTATATTCTGAGACGTCTCAAAGACGTGATAAAGTGCTATATCAAATGCAAGGATTAGAATATATTATACACTTTACAGGACTTAACTCGGGAGTTTTGGTTAGTCTTGGTTTTCAAATACCATCTCTCCCTCCAACTTCCTTTGCTGTCAAAGTCTATCCAATTCCATACTACCTGTTTTCACTGCCTCCCTGAGCAAACTGTTCCACATGTTAACCCCCTTCTTCATAAAGTAGTTAAATCTAAATTGTCCATCCAACTTTCTCTTTTTTAGTTTAAGACAATGAACCCATTGTTATGGACCTCAGATTCGGGCTGACATTGATAGATGGTAAAACCATTTATATCTTTGTGAAATTACCTTTCCACCAAGTATTCCCAGTTCATTCGTGCCCAATCAAAGGCCATTGTTTTCCCGTACTTGTTGAGTGAAATGTAACGGAGAACAGTGAACACGTCTTGACTTTTAATGAGACTTTCATTCTTGATATAGTTTAAGTATCTGCATGACAGAAAAAAACATGAACATTTTAACAAGTAAAGCAAACAGAATTATTTTTTTCCCCAGTGAGTTATTCTCGATAAAGAAATTCATAATGTATTCTAGAAGCCTCATACATGTGATCAAAATTAATGGTATAAATATATTAACATATTGCTATTCCTTGTTTAAGGTATGTTGTTCAAATATGTGTCTCAAACAAACCCTCCTCTGCCAATTTCTAAAGCACGCAGATTTGGTTGAAACTGCTTGGATTTGTTATATTGAATTTCTGTTCTGTAGGCCTGTTATTTTCAACATGTGAGCAGATTTTCAGTGTGAGCAGCCACACAAGAGTATTGCTGTGGGTAAAACATGTTTCACATTTCTATGGATGTGATGTATGAATGAATGTGAGGCGGGGGAGTGGGGGCGGGAAGCGGGAGAAGTTATCAACTGAATTCAATCCTGTTCTGAACTGTTGTCCAGACACTGTACATTCCAACAGGGAATGGGAGTCTTGTCCAGTTTTACTTTCCTAGTTTGAGTGCACTGAAGTACTCTGAAGTACACAGAAGGCATGCCAGCCTGGCTCAGTGATAGCATGCTCGTTTCTGAATCACAAATTTGTTGGTTCGTAACAAATATACAATCATTCCACTGTAAATCCTGTGAAGCACTATGGGTCATCCTCCCGACAAAACACGCTATACCAATTATTATCATTATTAGATACAGCTCTCCTGTTTTCTGCCTGAAATCAGCTATCTCAGCATAGGCCAGACATCAAACCTGGGACTTACCCAGAACATGCCAATTAATAGAAGGCCATCAAGGAATCCTGATTACAATCTTTATTTGTAAAGCTAGGTACAGCCCTTGAATCAGTGCCAGTGCAGTATTTAATTCAAGTTTATTTATGAGTTGGAAGAAAAACCGTAAATAGAAGGTTGTGCAGTAGAGCAACAGAGAGGACAGTGATTCTCTATAAAGTATGCAATATTGTAACTACCTCCCCAACAGCTGGATATTCTCCACCGAAGCCAGGCCATACATTAGTTTGTCTTTCTCCTGAGCAAGTGGTGTCTCCTGGTAACGTTTAAACATATATTCCCATGAAGATACATTTCCTGAGGTCTGCATCCCATATCGGTACACAAGTAAACGTAAATTTGGTTCGACCCTGAAATGGAAACAGACATTCTACCATTACAGCAGCAACAATAATGTGCACTTACATAGCAGGTTGCACATTACACCATTCACCTACAAAATATGCAGTCAATACACTTTACAATAAATCATGTGACTCTCTTTGAGACATTCTCCTAACGTGGAAGGCCCTTTATCAAATGCAAGGATTATTATTAAGATATGATAAACATTTTTGCAAAGGCAATGGGGGAATCATTAATGTCAATGGTCTTTTCATTTTTAATTTACTCAAGTCTGGGTGACACTAATACAAAAGGTTGAATGGCTTGCTACTGTGTTGTAGATTTCTGTGGTTTCCTAACAGCTAGTGTTAACACTGAAGAAAATCTATTCACCTGGCCCCTGTTAACCATCTGTTAAACAATTGAGAGGCATTGCTTAGTGCTTCCTCATCTCCCATTTGACACGCAAGTCCCAAAACATCTGTCCTCAATAACCTAGGAACAAAACAAAAGTATATTTTTACAATGAGTTACATGAAGTAACAGAAGCCTCATATCATAATTGTCTGACAATGAAGAATTTAAAACCTCTCCAAGTGTTCCCCTTCATCTTTCCAGCCAAGACTATGGACGATAGGTTTAACCTGATTCTTCCAGTATTCCTACAATACAAGAGTTAATTCATACAATCAACAAAATGTTACAGCACAAATAGACACCATGTGGCCCATTGCATCTATGATGGTTCACCTCAATGTTGAGAAAAAAGTGCAAATACTTTGAACTTTGTTTTACCTGGAACATAGGGTAAAGAGTATTATCGTCCTTGAGCATGTTTTCAATATACAATGAGGATTTCACCGCTGTTACCCAGGGTAAATATTCAGTTTCATTCTTCAGATACTTGGTCAGATTTAAAGGCACAAAGTAGTTCAGGAGAGATGCTCTGTAACGGCAGTAAAAGTTAACGGAAGTACCATTTTGATAATGAAGGTGACCTATTTAGTCTAAGGAACAGCAAACATCCTTCAAAGGATGTTAAAGCCAACATTATTGGTTTGTGCAAGCTTTATACGGTTCCTACTCATAACAGTTATGCCTGCATCATACAGCCAATTAACATACATAAAATCATACTGAAGTATGTTAAATTAAAAGAAAATACATTCCATTTTCCTACATCCTTTCTCATTATACTATTGCCATAATTAGTATGTAAGTCAATTGTAGCTCCCCTGCCTCAGAACGATTACAACTGAACACAACATGAATAAGTCCTGGGACTATTCTGGTCTGCACATCTCATTACTACATCATGCTATGGATTTCACACTGAAACATTTGTGGAACTTGACCGAGAGGTATTATTAGGGTGCATTTTATTGATACTGGGCCTTCTATAACGACTACAATGAGACTCCCTCTGTACATATGGTTCATATTCACTAGAAAGTGTGGTTTGTCTGCCCTTTGCTCATATTGTATAGGACTTGTATAGTAGTAGAGAATAAAGATTGTCTTCCTATCAGTCTGGGGTGGATTTAAACCCAAGTCCTAGTGTGAAAGTACAATGTTCCAACACTATACCACAAGCCTTCCAACCTTTCCTCCCCCCAAATTGTCCACTAAATGCTTTCTAGTTTAAAAAGTAAAGCGTTGTGTTGCTCAGGCTTACCTTCCAAGTGAAAATCCGTCATCAATAAGTCCTGTCCGATCAGCGACTGAAAAGACCTAAACACATAAGGAGGTGTCAGTCAGTTGCAAATAGCTAGTGTTAAAATAAATGGTTATGGTTCCTGTTGCTTTAAACTCACTTTGAAACCTCAAGTGAAGAAAAGAAGATCTGTCCTACAATGACAACAACTTCACCAGTTACCCCTTTTACATAGAGTAACATTGTGAAGCCATTTTCGGAGACGGGAATAATTACAATGGTTTGTTACCATGTGACCCAATGGTTTGGGTCTGAAATGCTGTACACTGTCCAGCGCCTTGGGATGTCCTCCTGACGTGAAAGGCGCTATACAAATGTAATCTTGTTGCTGTTTTAAAGGAGCAACATGGGGAGAGGAGAAAGTTGACTGAGGGTGTAATCCAAAAGGTGGGTTTTCAGAAGGGTTTTAAAAACCTTGAGTGTAAGGTGACAAGATTTTGGGAAGGAGTTCCAGAGAGCAGGGAGATAGTGTTTGAAAGCTCAGCTGCTAAGGTAGCAGAGCTTAGAGTGTATAGCAGGCTTGAGTTTGTGATCTTACCTCATGCTTCTTTATGATCTGTTCTATGATTTTATCCCAGGTTGGTTCTTCATAGTTTGCCCTGTAGAACCCCACATGGTTTGTATTTATTTTCAGTAACCCATCAGTAGTTGAGTTATAAGGCAAATCAATACCTACATATAGAACACGTAAGAACATTTAATAGGGACACAATTCACACCGGCATGAGGTACACTGCATCGGTTCTTTTATGCTATACACCATTTATTATTTAATGTACAGTATTATAATATAATAATAATCCTTGCATTTAATATGAGACAGCTCAAAACGCTTCACAGAATATACATTATTGACTGTATATTTTGTGGGCAAAATGCGGCAGCCAAACAATCAATCGTGGACTGAGTGACCAAATTATTATTATTATAATGTTTTTCTTGAAGGAATTGATTACCCCCAGAAAACGATCCGCCAATCGACTAACAACCAGGTTCCTACTTACTGCTAGGTAAACAGAGACGTGTGGAATAAGGAAACTTGCCCAACGTTTCGCCCTGCCCGGGAATCAAAGCCAGGTCCTCTCTCTTGTGAGGCGAGTGCTCTAACCACTAAGCTACAGCACTTCAGTATACAATATTGTGAGACATAATTAAAATCCTAGAATGTTTTTTTAAATCTTACTACTTCCCTACCATAAAAGCTATTTTTCTGATCTGAGCACTCCCTAATATTGGGATTTATCAAGACAGTATTTAACAAGTGGAATGGTTAACTAGGTATCGTTGTTGATATCAGGATGCTGGACTCATTTATTAGTGCTGTGAAGAGAGGAGAGTAGGTAGGGTATTCTGGAAGGATAAGATCAAATGGGCCAAAGGCTACCCTGCATGGAATCATAGAATCACATAACACAGAAGGAGGCCATTCGGCCCATCGTATCTGTGCCTGCTCTTTGAAAAGAGCTACCTAAATCAATCCCACTCCCATACACTCTCCCCATAGCCCCGCAAGCTTGCTCTCCCCAGATAATTATCTACTTCTCTCTTAAAAGTTGTTATTGAATCGGCTTCCACCACCCTTTCAGGCAATGCATTCCAGATCCGAACAACTCGCTGTGTGAAAATATTACTCCTCACCTGTTTCTTTTAACAACTATTTTAAATCGGTGCCCTCAGTGGAAATAGTTTCTCCTTGTTCAGCCGATCGAATCCCTTCATAATTTTGAAAACTTCTAATAAGTCTGTAACTGGAGGGCGCTATGTAAGTGCAAGTTATTGTTGTTCTTCATTTGAACCCTCCCAGTGACCCTGGGTAATTTTATGAAAGGTGCAACCTGTGATGTGTTAATGATCACTCTAATATTTGGCCAGTTAATAACTAAAGGCAACGTTTCGTCTGTGGAAGTGACCTTACCCCACGTCATTCTGTCACATTGTCTGGGCCACAAGCCAGTTATAACACACACTGGATTTCTGGTTAGCAAGGGCAGGATTGGAGTGCTAGTAAACTAGCAGGATATCATCTTAACTCAATGAATAAATCAGAATTATAAGATCACAAGAATGATCTGGATGAAGAAGGCCCTCCAGCACATCCAGTCTCTACCACCTTTCCTGACTACTATACCAATTGTTGATAATGCACTCCGTAAAGAAAAACTTACTGGTATCTGTCCTGAAACTCCCCTTTACAACTATAAACCTATGTCCTCTACAATAGTCTGTTTCTTCTTTAAAAATGTTTGAATAAGTAGATTATGAAAAATAGCATTTCAAGAAAAAAATAAATAAAAACTGTCAATTTATAAAGCACCAATACAAATCTGTTACTAAATGCAAATGAGTCACACTTGATAATTTCATATCTTTGAAATCTCTCCACGATGTGATAAGGTGCTGTATCAAATTATATTATTATAAGGATTATTATTATAAACTTATGATTTCATGCATACCTGTTGGTTTTGTCAAATTGAGAAAATCTGTCCCATTCTTTCCTGTTAGTGTATACCACTGGAGAGGAATATTCCACAAATAGCTGTAATTGAAAGATTAGTATAAATAGTCAGTATGTTATGAGATTTGTCAGACTTCTTTGCAAATATTTAATGCAAAAAGAAAGATAATTTGGAACTTCATCATTTGTGATCTTGGGTAATCTTGAGAAATTTGCTGCCTCTGTTGTATTAATGATCACAAAATTGAACAATGTGGGCAGTCAATAACTAAAGGCAAGCTTAGCTCAGTTGGCAGCAATCTCGCCTCCGAGTTAGAAGCTTGTGGGTTTAACAACAAATTACATTTGTATAGTGCCTTTCACATCAGGAGGACACCCCTTTAAGCCCCATTTGTGACTTGGAACTCATGTTCCAATATAGTTCTGAGGATGTGTTGCATTGTTGGAGGAGCCATCCTTTGAATGAGCCGTTAAACTGAGGTCCTATCTGCCTGTTTGAGTGGACATTACAGATCCTGTTAGGGGGGATTCCTGTGCATAAATGGTCTGCCACGTTGGCCCACAAAATACACAGTCACTCCACTTAATGGTACATCCTATGAAGTGCTTTGAGACGGCCTCCTGATGTGAAAGGCACCGTACCAAGTACAAGGGGTGTCATCTATTAAGTGTAAAATATATAATATTTTATATATAATTTTTATTTATCTTTAAGTATTTTTGTTTAGCCTACCCTCCCTCCCGTCCACCCTTCCTGATCCCAACCAGCAGCTTGGGTATGGATCCCTGACTGTCAGGCGCCTTGGAACTTTCTCCTGACGTGAAAGGTGCTATACAAATGTAATGTTGTTGTCGTCTAACCTATATGATATAGGACTCTGTAATATCTATATTTATAGTGATAGAATCAGCACTCTCTCCCTGGAGGTATTTATATGAATTACTTCAAGCCCTTTGGGACATCCTCCCGACATGAAAGGCGCTCTACAGATGTAATTTTGTTGTTGTTGTTGCTGTTCAAATTAATTATATATTGGCTACAATATCTTACTTGAAAGGTGAAGGAGGTTCTTCTGGATTAGAGCTGGGGTCTAAAATGAAGCGTGATTGTATGATTGTTGATTCCTTTTGAACTTGCAGCACTGGATACCCCATTTGGTTAGTCCAGGTATCCATCACTTCTTTTACTTGTTTACCACTGACCTAGACGAGGAACGGAAACAAAAGACGTGTAAGGAGAGTAGATCGTCTGGGAAGCTCCCTCGCAGAACATTCATTATCAAAATGTAAAATGTCACCAATGCAAACAACAACTTGCATTTATTTAGCAACCTTCATGCGGGATCTTGGAGCGCTTGCAATAACTCAAAAATTTGGTCTTACCTCAGCTTGGGCTTTCCAGAAGTCATCTGTTTTGGCATTCTTAAATTGGTTATCCTTCAGATATTTCTGAAGATAGAATTAAATATTTCAATATGTTTTGCCTTAACAGTTCATACATAAACATATTTGTTGATAAGCTTACACTATTGTTTTCCTTCTACTTTCTTTGTCGTCTCATGACTATGAACCTGAACCTGAAGACAGGTGGGTAAACAGCTACCAGAATTCTGCCACCATCACTTCAAGGTGAACATCAGATATTCTCTCAATCCCTGCAGGGGATTATCTGGCATCACTTGTTGTCCTGAGTGTGCCTGAGATTGGGAGCTCACCATATGGAGAAAGCAAAGGAATTGACCATTGAATCGTACCACTTTGTAAAACCACATATTGGAGCTCTAGGAGTCCATGCTGCCATACTATCCTCCTTTACTATGAGCAGAGCAACCTCACCTGACATCCCCGCTGAAACAATTCTGGAGTCATCCAATCCCTCAGCATACGTAGAATTGATGCTCCCTGGATAAAAAAATGTGCTGTGAACACATCTATCTACAGCAATCCGCTTATTATAACAGACAGTATTATTGCACTTAATAAACACATGAACACTCAGGTCTACCTGGCAGGTCCCTAAGTTTGGTAAATACCACACAATGCTCTTTTCTTTTCAAATCATTCAATGTCTTCTTCCTTCCAAAATAGGTTTAGCTCTATGGCAGATCAAATATTAAAACGATTAGGAGTTGGTCCAATAAATACAAGTTACACTACAAAACAGTGTTGATTCAAACCAAAAAGGTAACTGAAAGAGAGATAGAGGGCAATACCACTTAACTGGAAAGAGTGCACTCACCCGGTGTTAGTTATTGAACAATCAATAACTAATAATAACTAATAATCCTTACATTTAATATAGCACCTTACATATCAGTACACTTCACAGGATTTATTATAAAGTGTAGTGACTGTATTTTGTATCAAGTTTTTTTTGTATCTGTTTTTTTTAAAAGTTAGTCATATATTAATAATCCTTGCCTTTGATGATAATAATCCTTGTATTATTATAGTGCCCGTCACATCAGGATGACGTCTTAAAATATGTCACAGGATTTACTGTAAAGTGTAATGGCTGTATATTTTGTAGGTGAATGCAGCATCCAATTTGCACATAGCACAAACAGCCAGGAGGGGAACAACCAATTTTATCTGGGGTCTGTTGGCCAGGACAACAGGAGAAACTCCCTTCTCTTCACTAAGAGAGCCAATATAGCCAATCTGACACCTAACACAATAAATGCTAAACAAAGTTGCAAATTCTACCCCTCTCTGAAATATCCTCTTCACAACTATTTTCTGTGGTTCACAAATATAACACCATAGAGAAGGTGTAATGTTAACTCAATCATAATTAGTAAAACCAGTTCTTACCTTGCTATATGAGATGCCATCAAACACAGAAGTAATTTCCGCTGGTGTTGACACATTAACAATTATTGGATGGGAAGATAACAAAGCGTCATCAACCATGACGGACAAGACATCATCTATAAGAATCTGATCCAGCTGTAAACAAAACCACCAGAGGTTTCACTGAGAATTGAGGGACAGAGAGTTAGAACAATTTTCTATCTCTGGGATTTAGTCTTTAATTCTACCCAGTCTGATTCTTTGTTAGGCGTATGGGGACTATGAGGAATAAGCTTTAGCATTCTTAACCCAGTTCCTGGTGAGCTTGGGGTCAACAGTGCCAATTTAACAACAATTTAGCACAATTTGCCAATCTAATTTGAAGAGAGGACACTGTTGACAGCTTTTGTCCAAACCAGCTCCATCCATTCCTCAGTGTTGAACTTGCTCACCTTAACAAACAGAAAAATCTACAAACAACTTCAAGTTGCAAAGAGAAACTTCTTCCAGTTACCATGAGTACATAATGCCAACCCATGGGAACGCCACTCCGACACAATGTACTTCTGGAGCAGAGTTTCCACAGATCAATATTACATATTTCCAAGTTCCTCTTTGAGACTGAGAATCAATATTAAGCAACCCTACCAGAAATGGCTGCAATTTAGTTCCAATGTTCTTGTTAAGTGCTTTTCAGGAAGAGTTCTCAAGTCAATTTCAGTAGGCACCTTGTTAGCTATTTCATGCTATTGGCTCTCATTCCATTATTCCTGCTTCCTCCCTTGCTGCTTTGCACACCATTTGCGGCTCTCTTTCAATTTACAGACAAGACCATGAGCCATACATATGTCTGTAATTGCCATTAATACAGATGCTTAATTGACCAGCAAGAAAAGCAGTCAAAGTGGAGTGAGCATTGCAATAACAAGATCCCAGAGATAGTCCATTCAAACAGCTTGGTTTAGCTGCACACCACACATTCAGTTAATTTTTGCTGGATTATCTTTTAACAAATTGTTCACACCCACAATAAATTAAAGTAATCCCTGTCATTTATCTTTAAGGGATTTCATTCTGTCAATCTTTCTCCTCTTTGGAAGACATATTGGTAATTCAACTGACATACAGTTTGACAGGCATCACTGGCCCTCTGGTATGTCACCTAAATGATCGTTACCCGTGAGCTTTGACAGTGAATGCTAGGAGTCTAGTTGACCACAGAATCCATTAAAGCCAAGCTCAGCCCTGTTCTCATTCAATATCTGTACACACGCACACCTCCAGAGATCTGTGGATATCTCTGAGTAGTGTAACTGAAGGGTGCTGAGACCTTGTCACTTTGCACACCATTTGCTGCCCTCTTTCGACTCATGGACAAGACCATGTGCCATACTTGTCTGTGAGTGCCATTAATTCAATTATTTAACTGTAGCATCCAACTGCTGCCCCGACTGAGATTCTCCAACTCAGGACATACCAGAATAGCATCTTTTCACTTTGTATGTGCCAGTGCTAATTTTATCCACCAGACCATCGGATGATCTATTTTGATATTCTGTTTGGTGTATTTTCTATTTTGATATTTTATTTGGTGTATTTTCGTTTTCCTAAAAACTTTTCGCACTTAAAAGAAGTGGAGAGGAAGATCTGAACAGTATGAAATACAGGAGTTAACTTACCATTTCCCATTCAGATTCAGCTGCATTTACACCAATGTATTCAAAGAAACTGGCGAATCCCTCGTTCAGCCATAAATCATCCCACCAATTCATGGTCACAATGTTTCCAAACCACTAAAAGTATAAACAGACATTTAATTGTATTGGTTGCTCTGTGGTAGAATTCTTGCTTGCCAAGCACATACAAGCACATGTATGTGATTCTATGAAAAGGAAAAATATAAAAGAATATTTGGGGATAATAATAGTAATCTTTGGATTTGGTATTACGCTATTCACATCATAGTGGTAAGTTCTTTTAACAACTGCAGTAAACCAAAAGTTAAAACTGATTTCAATAATTTGGCATTGTGGAGTCCTGTAGCTCAGTGGTTAGAGCACTCGCCTTGCAAACGAGACACCTGGGTTCAATTCCAGGCAGGGCGAAACCTTGGGCAAGTTTCCTTACTCCACACGCCTAATAATAATCCCTCCAAAACAAAACAATAATAAATTGGTCATTTTCAATTCATGACTGATGTGCGCAATTGGCTGCCGCGTTTCGCCCACAAATATACAGTCAATTCATTTTACAGCATAGTCTATGAGACGTTTTGAGACGTCTAGAAGACGTGAAAAGCGCAATATCAAATGCAGGATTATTATTATTATATGGAAAATTCTCCAAAATGCCTCATAAATAGAATAAATATAGCACTTTGTCACATCATCAAAATGTTTCAAAGTGTGTCACAGGTTCTTAATGTGAAAGCACATTCTGAGCAGCCCACAAATAATATCCGCAAAGGAATTTTTTATGACCAAAAATTCCTTCTGAAGCAGATCTCATTGGGAGTTTCTGTCTGAAGCATCTTTGGTGAGACATCAGTGAAACTCATGTTTTGATGAGCACTTTTCAGCCCCATTATTACTGCCCCAGCAATTGGCCTGTCATGTAACTTGGAAGCTGAGTATTCCTGTGATTTAATCTTTTGTGCTGTTACTATACCTGGTGAACAAGTTCATGAGCAACAACTGAAGCCACACGCTGCTTATTAGTGGAAGAAGATTCTGCGGGATCATATAGCAGGTTGGTTTCCCTGTAGGTGATCAGTCCCCAGTTTTCCATTGCACCAGTACCAAAGTCTGGTATGGCAATCATATCTGTAATGCAGAGAACATCATAAAAAATATCAAGAAATCGGAGTTCAGATGGCAGAACTGTGTTCATTATGATCATCCTACAATTTATGAAAGATATAACATTTACTGTAATACCATTCAGGGAGGATTAGGCACTGTCATAAACAAACTCTCACACTAGCACGGATCAATAACTTCAATCCTGTTAGAAAGCAATAGTTTGGGTCCATAAAATTAGACATTGATTAATAATAGTAATAATCTTTGCATTTAGTATAGTGCTTTATCATGCAATAACAACAACAAAATTACATTTATAGAGCGCCTTTCACGTCGCGAGGACGTCCCAAAGCACTGAACAGTCAGGTGTCAGGGCCCGAGCATGGGGGAGGGATGGTGTACAGGTGAGGGAAGGCAGAGAGGTGGGAAGGAGACCAAAGGTTCAGTCGAAGAGAAGGGACTTGAGACCGGCCTTGAAGGAGATAAGGGAGGAAGTGAGGCGAAGGGACCGTGGGATGGAGTTCCAGAGTGTGGGGGCAGAGAGGCTGAAAGCACGGGCACCGATGGTAGGGTGGGTCAGGCGGGAGACCTGGAGCAGGCCGGAGCCCAATAAACGGAGAGAGCGGGCAGGTTGGTAGGGAGTCAGCAGGTCAGAGAGATAGGAAGGATGCAGGAAGGATGTATCAAAGAGCTTCACATTATGTACATTTGCGCACATATGTGGGAAGCTGGCCAGTCAGTGTATCACACTGTTGATACAGTGCGGGTTGACAACCTACCCTCATTATAACAAATCACATTATATCAGGGTCTGATGAGATGTTAAACCGTACACGTAATGTTAAAGATCTCTTCACACTATTCAAAACAAGAAGAGAATTTCTCCCCGCTATGTTGCCAATAATGCCCAGATAGAATTGGTTACTCGCTTCACTGTGGGAAACCATACAATGTAATATATTGGACATCCAAAAGGCATTTGACAAAGCACCACATGAAAGACTCATTCACAAACTGTGGTCACTCAGTTTCAAGGGCAAAACATGGACATGGATTCAGAATTGACTAAAACGGAAAGAAGCAGAGGCATTTGTTATGGGAGCTCGTTCAAAATGGGAAGAGATGCGGATGATCTGTAGCCTATGGAGGGAGGAGTTGGGGAGGCTGACAAGCAAGGAGTTTGAATGGTCAAGCCTCAATGTTATGAATGCATGCATGAGGGTTTCAGCAACCTGCGGTGTGAGATAGTGGCGGAGTCAGGCGATGTTGCAAAGGTAGATGAAGGCAGAGCGGGTCATGGCACAGATGTGGGGTAGAAAGGATAGTTGAGGGTCAAACAAGACACCAAGGTTCCAGACTGGCTTAGCAAGGTGGAGTGTACATCCATGGATGGTGATGCTGTCAGCGCCTGAGTTGTGGAGGCGCTGACAGGAGCCAATTCAGAAGAACTCGGTTTCGTCGACGTTCAACTGAAGAAAGTTAGCTCTCATCCAGGACTTGATGTCTGACAAACATTCTGTCAGGGCATCAATGGTCCTGGAGTCAAGGGTGGAGGCAGAGATATAGAGTTTGGTGTCATCCGCATACATATGCAAGTTGACCCCATGTCTGCAGATGATGTCACCAAGAGGGAGCATATAGATGTTGAAGAGGAGGGGACCAAGGACAAAGCCCTGAGGAACACTGCACGAGACAGTGCGGGGCTGGAGGAGATACCGTTTGTGGAGGTGAGTGGAGGCGGTGTGAGAGGTACAATCTGAACCAAATGATCCAAATGAATTACCCTGGTATTCCAAGCAGCAAGGACTGAAATGCAACAATTGTGGTGAATGCGGGTGTCAACAGTAAAAATGCTGGCAGATGCAGGACATTTCCATCTTGTCAAAGTACTAGGAGGGGTCAGATTCACTCCCTAACCTGTGAATAACTGACAAAGGGTCAGATCATGCCGTTGAGGTTATGTGTTGCATAAAATGCCGCCGGTGTTAATCATCACGTCACATACCGCAGTTTTCACGCCATAATTGTATTAAGACAAGTCAATGAATGGCAAACAACATACCTAATTTGGGAAGGGAATAATTTATGGCGAAATACTCCTCAAAGAAGTCAAATATGATTTTTGTAACATTCGCTGCATACACTGCCGTGTGTTTCTGTTGAGGTTGGACGTAAATTCTCAGCTAAGAAATGCAAGATAAAGAGAAAAGTAAGGTAAGTTAAGGTAGACAACATTATCGAATTCATTTTACTCTGTATGTAAAAGCATTGTAGAATTATATCCTTTTTTGGTGGTTCCTTTAGTTTGCAACAGTTAAATCCCAAGTGAATGCGGAACTCCATGATTGTTTTTTTGTTATGAAAATTGTGCTCATCGGGGATGTGGAACAACTTCCTATTTTGGCAACCAGTAACAATCTCAAAGAATCCCAGGTCAGGTACAGCATTACTGTATGAAAGTAGCTCCCTCTACCCAGCAATGTGCATTGGCTCCAAATTCAGTGGAGTACCCATTCCCTCAATACACTGCACTCGGGTATACAAGCCAGTGTAAGACCTATTTTGAGAGAAATTATCAATTTAGTGTTGGATTATGGCAGTTTGTGCTATGAGCCTCATTCAATTAAAAGCTGGGCTGAGACTGTCATTTCACATTGGAGCATCCAATCCCATTAGTGTGACCTGGATTCAAATCTAGAAGCCCAAAAAGGAAGAGCCTAATCCACTGTGCTGACCTGTTACCCTTCAAGTTCCATCTGTTTCAGTGTAGGTATGGCTATAATGCCTCTGATGGTCTCCACATCCCTTCTCTCTCTTTCCCCCCACCCCCCCTTTCCCCCCCATCTGTTTCTCCCCCCCATCTGTGTCATCACCCCACCCCCGTCTGTCGTCGTCGTCCCCCACTCTCCATCTGTCCCCTGTCCCCCCGTCTATCCCCCGCCCCCTCGACTGTGTGTCCCCCGCATCTGTCCCCCATCTGTGTCATCCTCCAATCCCCCCCACCGGTCTGTTGTCCCCCTCCCGTCTGTCGTCCCCTTCCCCCCGTCTGTTGTCCCCCCATCCCCTCCCTCCACCGCCTGTCCCTCCCTGTCTTCCTTATTTAATAAATATATATTTAAAAATATACAATCAATATAATTTACAGTATATCCTGTGAAGTGCTTTGAGATGTCTCAATAACATGATAAGGCGCTATATCAAATGCAAGGAATAATATTATCATTATTTAGTTACATTATAGATGCATATTAAGGACCATTGCCCATGATATTCATTCTTTGTTTTCTATGCCTACAGATATAACACTAAGAACAGTATGTGTCGCTCATGGAGTGTGCAAACAATACCATACAATATACATTGATGCAGTAAAACTCACATAAAGTCATATCAGTCAGGACCACAATATTTAATATGACTTACGCAAAGTCCCAATTGCAGACACGCTGTATAAATCATATAAAGTCCAATTTAATCAATAATCTACACTGCGCATACTTAATTCAAAGCAGCCAGTCCTTTGTCACTGCCAGCCGGTAAGTAAAGATAATAATAATAAACCTTGCATTTGATATAGCATCTTATCACGTCATTGAGACATCTCAAAGGGCTTTACAGAAAATACTGTAAAGTGAATAGACTTTGTGGGCGAAACTCGGCAGTCAATTGCGCACAGCAGTGTCCCACAAACAGTCATGAGGATGTTATGTCGGGAAGACATCCCAAAGCACTTAAGCTCAGAATGGGTCATTTGATATTGGAACATACATAACACATTGGTCCAGCAATCTTCAACGGCTTACTGATACTGTTGATATTTTCAAAGAACTTACAGGGATTCCTCGTTTTGAATTGCTTTCTATAAAGTCAAACTGATGAACAGCAAAACAGACTAAGTAGGTGCTCATTGGTACAGATTTTTGAAATATCGTTTTTTTCTGTCCATTGCCCAAGTCTTCAGTATGCTGAAAGGCAAAATGAAATTTTATTACAAGTACGACCCATAGCTCTCTTTGGAACTCATTTCAGAAATGATCCAATGTAAAACTAAGCTAAATTTGTATCCTAGTTCAGCTCTTGTTCTTTGCTGAGTGAAGTAAGTGACAGTGGGGTGCTATGATAGACTTTAGCACCAGTGGGCTAGGGAAAGGAAGAATCAGTCATTGGTGAATAGCCCTTAAGTGTTCACTCTGTGAATTCACGGATGAACAATGAGTACTTGGGTGAAGTATAGTAGGACAAGCAAAAGCATATGGAACTCCATCCAGTAGGTTTCAGCACTCTCAACAGAGAAAGAGTTCCTCAAAAACAAAACTGAGCTTCTCACCATTTACGATTCTAAAGGCATATTAATTTTAAAGGTATATTAATTTTATTTTTTTCAATGTTCACCTCTGGTGGCATGTTTGAAAGAACGTTATACAGCTCGCTGTATATTAACGAGATGGTGTATGTTGCCTTCTTATTGGGTTCATCAAAACAGGGGAAAGATTTCCGTGCATCAGTTGGTTCGTGATCCGTAGCTGCAATGAACCTGTTAGGAAACGAAAAGATCAATATAGGTATTTCACAATAATGAGAAAAATGAAACACGACTACTGTATAAATATGGTCAGTAATTCAAAAAGCATTTCTGATGTGACCGACATCATTGCTCCTAGATACAGTAATAGGAAGGCAGCACCAAATGGAATGCCAAATCTTCCTCCTTGGGGAATTTCTAATAATCTGTTCTGTGAAAAAAATTGGTCAGTCGGGAGCCTGAAACAAATGAAAACCCATCACCGTGCTTAAGAGCGGCTAAACCAAACTGAGAATTCCATGCATACCACATACACATGGGAATTCCACAGATAGATTGTTGGAATGATATGCACACTCTCTTCCTGGAGGGATGCATCCTGTTTACCTAATTCCAGAAAGTATTGGGCGCAGGTTGGCAAGAGCCAAGGCTTGGGTACCCCCAAAGTGTGCTCTGGGGTAATCCTGGAGTCTAACTAGCTAAAACCACATAGCTTGCCATTGATATCACATCTGGCAAGCTTTCCTGCTGCGCATCGAGCTAGAACCACCCTACCCATTAGGGCTTTGGCTTGCAGGATTAACAGGAGCTGAGTGGGATGACTCCCTGCCCCAGTGACTAGTCTACCCTTCCAGGTCCTGCCAATGTGCCAGACTGGCTGTGCTACCATCAACAGTGCTCTGCAATACTGCAGATCCACCTGGCTCAGAAACCAGGCCCCTGAGACCACCACAAACCGCCACTCAATTCTGACATTCCGTTGTCAAGCAAGTCACCTTGAAGCCAGCTTAGCTCCCCTCCCAGGAGGATCATCCTGCCCATGCTATGATCCGTTCTACCTTCGCCACCTCCACAACATCGCACTGGCTCAACCACTGCCTCTCCTCTTAGGCCACTAAGACTCTCATCCACACATCTGTCACATCTAGGCTTGACTATGCCAACTCCCTGCTTGTTGACCTTCCCAACTCTTCCTTCCACAGTTGCAGATCATTCAGAACTCTGCAGATTGTGTCCTTTCCCGCACAAGGCTCTGTGACCCTATCATCCCCACCCTCACCCAGCTCCACTGGCTCCCCATCCCCCAGAGGATAGAGTTCAAAATCTTTGGCCTCGCATACAAAGCTCTCCAGAGCCTTGGTCTGTCCTACCTCTGACATGCTAATATTATATCGAACTATCCTCTCCCTCCGCTGACCTGCTCCACATCCCCCGTCCAGCCTGGACCACCTTAACATCAGCGGTCAGGCCTTCAGCCTCTCTGCCCCTAACCCTCGCTTTGCTCCCTCCCTTGTCTGCTTCAAGGCACGTCTCAAGACCTTCCTCATGGGTTTTCCCTTCACAGCTTTTTATGGGATACTGCTGTGTGCTAATTTGATGCCATATTTAACTACAAAATTCACAGTCATTGCACTTCACAGTAAATCCTGTGAAGTGCTTTGAGACAATGTGATAAGGCATATGATATCAAATGTAAGAATTATGTCCACTAGATAATGTAAATACAGGTTCACTTATGGTCTGTATAAGGCGAGAATGATTCAAGTCCAATAAACAAAATTATTTCCAAAAGGCTAAATATGTTTCAACAGTATTAAAATTAGGTAAATTAAGAAAAAGTCAAGTAAATTATTGTCAACGTATTTTACTGTGTTTAAATAACTTTATTTGAACTTATCTTCCAAGAAATGCCTATAATATTACCTCCCAATTTCCACATTATATCATAGATAGTTACTTTATTACCAAGGATTGAAAGAAAAATCTTTTGAAAGTTACTCAAATGATAATTGAATTGCACATTAGATTTAGATACATTGTGTAAACATAACTCCAGCCCAGCAAGATCAAATTGACATTTAAACTATTATGAGAAAATAGCTAACCTCATAATAATGGTCAATAACACACTTGCATTCATTGCACAGTGAATCAAAAAGGCCAGTGAAAAATATCATTGTGTAGAAAACTAGTCATGCAACCTCAGCCTGATTATGATGTATATGTACACAGGGACAAACATCATTCTTAAATTCAATCAACAATAGCCTTTGATTATAGCAATATTTATTTATAGTCCCTTCTGAACCTTTGTCAGTCTATAGGGTATTTGAGTTTGACGTTGGATTACACAAACTCCATTAGAATGAACACCTGTTCAAAGCAAATGGGCACCATTATAATGAATTTCAACCCCAATATTTGGAAGTGTGTTGCAGTGTATTATTTTAGTGCTCCCAGCAAATCTGAATGTCACCAAACACTTCCCAGATGCAAATGCTATCACCAGGTGCAAAACGTGGAAAATAAAGAAAGGGAAGGATGGAGACTGGCTGTTGGGAATAGTTTACAGTTTAATAAAGTAGGAAAATGAAATCCTGACTTAAACACAGAAACATTTGGATAAATAACTATGCCCTGACTAGCTCACTGAGTATTCTGTTTAATACTGTGAAGCTAATCATATTCATTCATAAGTGAGGGAGAGGAGAATAAAGGGGTATTCGTGAGGGGAATAGAAGGGATTGAGCATTGCATGGAGTAGTTGGGCTGAATGGCTTATATCTGTGCTATATTACTCTATGTAACGCAATGTAACTCAGCATTTAATTCTATGTTTTAGATTTGAAGCTTATCCACCACAACCAGTATCATAGTCATTATCTGGGTTCTTCAAACTCTCATTGTAAAACTTTCTCCATAATAGTATCAGCAGGTTGGCAGGAGCAAAGGCTTGCCCCCAGAGTGTGTGTTGGGGTACTGCTGGAGTCTAACCAGCTAAAATCGCATAGCTTGCCATTCATATTGCTGTCCGGCAAGCCTTCCTGCTACCTGTCCAGCGAGGTACACCCTACCCATTAGAGCTTTGGTTTGTAGGGTTAACAAGAGCTGAGTGGGATCCCTGCCCCCAGTCTGCCCTTGCAGGTCCTGCCGATGAGCCGAGCTGGCTTTGCTGTCATCAGCAGTGCCCTGGATTACTGTGGACCCACCTGGCTCAGGAACTGGTCTACTGAGACTGCTACTAAGGCCTGGCTCGATTCTGATATTCCATGGCCAGGCATGTCACCTTGGATCCAGTTTAGCTCAAATGGGACTTGCTTACCTCTCCCACCCACCAACTCCCCACCCCAAGGTGGATAGTCACCATTTGGTTGTTTGACATCCGGCAAGCACATAATAAAACCAAAATTATTAACCATAATAAATAATAATTATGAGACATAATAACATCACAATAGTTAACACACTTTAGTGCCCATTTACTAATACAGAATATATTTATAAATATTTCCACATATCAGTTTGATCAAGGCTATTAAAGCTGATAAGAAAAATGATGAGGCTTTGCATACACTCATGCCACACTGATAATAGTATGTTGTAAGTAAATATCAGAATAATGCTATTAATATAGCATTAGGGTAGCCACCACTTCAGGGTAGAGTGATTCAGAGCATGGCTACTGCTTAATGACATTAAAAGATGTAGTCTCTGTAAGTTCTTGCTTATTTTAAATGAGTAATTCTGAACCGAATTCCAGGCTCAATGCTTCAAGACTCTGCCCCGCAAGAAGGGTTGTTGTTGTTGGCATTTATACTGTAGCATTGCAAATCTACCTGCTACCGAAACTATTCCTGAAGGTGGTCTCAGCATCTAGCCATGGGCCATAAAAAGTACAGTAGAAGTGTGCATAACATTGGAAAAGTTGGGGTGAAAACTGCCCTCTGGTTTGTTAATTATTGCTGGTGATCATTATCACATCATAAACCATTCTGACCTGTTAATGTCCGACCACAAATTTTACCCCCCCTCCCCCACAACTCCTTCACAATGGCTAGGCTGAAAGAACAACCCGGTCCCACTGACTGATGTGCTCGTCTGGAGATCTGAATTGCAAGATAAAGGCTCAACTCCTGATTTTATCTTATTGTTGAGTTGAACAAATTATTTCACAAGTTATTGTTCCAATGCCGTGTGCCAACCAAATATTAACAGGAGAATTTTTTGTATAATATAATTATCACCACTGATAATTATCACATCACCTGTTGCGATTTTCATCCCAGTGTTTCCATGTCGACAGCTTGCTTCTGTAATGTGCTTAAAGTGCCAAAATGAATGAACGTTTGCTGGTTTTACAATAAATGCTGCACTCATGACACAGAAACATCTATAAGTCTTGGGGTGGTTGAGCCTTCAGCCTCTCTGCCCCCACCCTTTGGAACTCATCTCACAGTGCCTTCGCCTTGCTCCATCTCTTGCCTCCTTCAAGGCACATCTCAAGATCCTCCTCTTCAACGTCACCTTTGGCCACCCTCCAACTCCCAACCCTCCCTGTCCTGCCAGCCCTCCACCCCTCCTGATCCCAACCCTCTGCTCGGATACACACCACTGACTGTACAGCGCCTTGGGACATCCTCCCAAGGTGAAAGGCGCTATACAAATGTAATTAGTTGTTGTTGCAATGGTCACAGGTCACTGCATGCTTGGCATTAGACCAATGCAAGATTTTGCATTGCACAGCACCCTCACCCTCAGACTATGTGTCTCTCAGATCAGGTTATGTAAGTGAAACTATTTCCACGATACACTTGTAAATGAGAAGTCTCTTAGTTGAGACTTGGTGACAGTAATTTCCATGGGAGGTGCTTTGTGGAGAATGCCAACGAGCTGGAATTGGATCTTACACTATTTCCAGTGTGACCAGCTACTCTCATGTGTGAGATAGTGTCAACAAGAATATTTATCATCAAACAAAACTGTTACAGGACAGAATGTGCTTTCTTATTAAGGTTTGCAAAAAATTCTGATGATCACCAAAATTAGTGTAAGATAATATAGGATCATGAACTAATATATTTAAATTTTAATGTAATAAAATGCAGTTATCGGATCTGCATACTGAGTCTAACCACAGGCAGCATATGCCAAAGTTCAACTTACAGTATTATGTTTAAGATGCAGTCAGATTCCTAATGTTGAAAAGAAATTTCACAGACATATGGGGCACT